GAAAGCACAATGTGGAACTACATGACCAAAGGAAATATGATGTTTTTCATCATTGTGGAACAGCGGATTTGAAGGAGTAGGTGAGATCAGTGAAGCCTAGTTCTAATCTGAGGACGACTGAGCTGCCCATCACCACCACATTTTCTCTTTAAAAAATACTAATTAACTAATTGTTGTCATTTATGCATTTTGAGGATGCTTGCACTCTATTGACGCATCCTTTCACTAGATTATCTATATGTTTTTGTCTTGTTTTCAGTGTAAAGGCTAATAATTTGTTATTGTTTATTTTATTTGCAATTTATATTTAACCAGAAAATCACATTCGATGAAGAAAGCTTAAAACTACAAAGAGATAATACACTGAACTACATTGTTAGTAACAGTGATCTTCGACACAAATATAAAAAGATATGACCAAAATGATAAAAGTATAGTAGGCTTATATAATATTCTAGGTATTATTGTTAGTATATATTATATGACAAGGAACAGCAAATAACTGCCAGAAAAAAAAAAATTGTAAATTTTAGCCCCGTTATCGATGGTTAGCTGCACACGTCCGACTTTGTAGCCTATTTTTTCATTTGTTCCTCTGTTCATGGATTATTGTATCTATGACCACAGACAATAATTTAGTAGGTCTATAGTTTTTGCAACTTTCATGGGGTCACCAACCAGAAGAGGACATACAGTCAAAGTGTAAACACAGAGATTAACATTTTGATTGAAAAACAGGGAATCATTAAACTTTTCTGAACCTCAGTTTCACTCCGGAACGAATGAGGTTTTAGTCTGTATATTGCACCTTTTGACGTTGGCATAGTTAGGCCTATGCCTCGGGCTCTGGACCAGTCCTGGTCCATTTAAAAAATATATATAGACGTTATGTCATACCGGTTTTTCATTAAATAGGCCTAAATATGAAAACTTAAATGACAGCCGACGTCGTTTGTTTCAACCAGGGAGTCATTATAATAAATAGACTGCCTCAACTCAAGAATAATCAAGTACAAAAGTGGAGCCTTATTAATTTCATAAATTTGTTACCATTTTAAGACACAAAGTAAGTAAGTAAATAAGTAAAGTAAATATACTTTAACAATTACATAAATGACTGCCTGTCAAGAGCTTTATGAAGGTAACTTTATCATTCTTAATAATACGCACATTAACATAAAAAGACATTAAAATTTATAGGGGGCGCAATTGTATTTTGTCAATGCAACTTGCGAGCATGGAGAGCGCAGCGCAGCAGCTGAACGTCCCGTTTTATTTGGGTCAAGTCTTCAGCAAATGCAAGTGCCAACCTAACTTGTTACTTTAGAAAGTGCACTAAAAACAATTTAAAAATAATTTTTAACATTTGACGGAGTAGTTTTTAAGCTCTATTGAAATATTGAAAAGCTGAATTGTGTGTGGTCTTGCCGAATGAGTCAAGAAGGTGAGTATATCTTCCCATAAGGTTGTTGGGCTGTAATCAGGGAGCAGTTATGAACTTCTTCGTTCGTTGTGTATGACTATGATATGAAGTTGTAGAAAGAAACGTCGGCCTAGGTAGGATAGGTTAGGTATATTTCGCTTACCGTACGGTTAAAAACAAATGTATAATTATGTGTGTCATACAGACTACAGTCTACATGCTAAAGATCATAAGCATTTAATGAACACTAAACTTTTAGGAGGATGTCTCACACAGCCAACTGCAGAATTTCTGTACTGTATTTATTTTTCACCTGTTCATCCTTGCATCATGTTATATTTCTCCCTCTTACGTATAAGCTAGGGGCCTTGTTTCTTTTCTTCCGTATGGAGAGAGGACTTTCCAAATGAAGAAAATTTCATGGTCACAAATTCCACTTCCACCCTGAGAATAAATTGACTGTCGGCAGAAGTACACAATGGTGTATTTCAGGCAGATGTCTGCAATGTCCTTTTAAGTTGTATTAAAGCCCTATCCCGCAAAATTTCAGTTGTTAAAGGAAAATCTGATGTTTATGTTATAAAGATTTAAGTATAAATATAATGTGAAATTTCTAGTTTAGTAACTGAATTTAGACATTCCTAAACATGAAAAAAATGTAAAATAAAACTAAAATTTGATTTTTTTTGTGTGTTCCACACAAAAAATAAACGTAGATGAATTTTTGTTTTTGTTTTAGTGATAAGTCTGCGAAGAAATATAGTAGGTGCCGGAAACATTAGCCCATCCAACACTGCTAGGCTAGGCCAAGCCTTACCTCGATTTCGGTTCTGCTATCAGACATAAAAACAGCCAATATTATATTTCCGTTGCTAGTATTGACACTTGTGAAATATAATATTTCATTGGAATTATTTCAAATAAAAAAAAAAATGATTCTGACCGAGATTTTGACAGTTAAACAAACATATCTCAAGGCCTACTCGATCGACCGCAGAGTTGGAGATGCGAAGTACAAAAAGTAATCTCATTAGAGAGGTAAAACTTTATCGACTGTATACACAAAAGCGAGAGCTTTTCTTATTATTTTTATCCATTTCCAAAATTTATGCCAATATTTTTCCATGGTTTATTAAAGTAATGCATGCATTTTTTTCTAAAAAGAATTTTAGTGGAATTTTGCCAGGAATTTGGCCCGCATTTATATAATTTATATAACTTTAGATTATTTATAGCATTTTATTATATTTTTGTTGAACTGCTGTTGTCCATTTCAGTGTAGAATTAACCAGACATGAACAAAGAAAATCATAAATACTGGTAGTAATAAAAGTATTAATAGAAAAGTGATGTTACCCTTTTATGATTATAGACTTAAGGCCTGTTTATACTTCAACGATAACGAAAAAAAGCTAAAAAGCAATTGTTCATATAGAAAATAAAAGAAATAAGAGAAGTTTTTACACTAGGACGATTCGATAACGATTTATCAGTTAAGCGATAACAACATATTTTGACAAATCAAATCAGATGACGTCATAATCATGGAAAACATTAAAATCGTCGTAGTAGCAACGATTTTATCGTTTGTCCATGATTATGACGTCATCTGATTTGATTTGTTAAACTATTTTGTTACTGCATACCCGATAAATTGTTATAGAATTGTCCTAGTGTAAAAACTTATTTCTTTTGTTTCCTATATGAACAATCGCTTTTTAGCATTTTTATTTTTAAGTGTAAACAGGCCTTTACTCTCTGTTGGTTTGTGCAAAATATAAAAATTGTACTTGTCCTTTTTTTTTTTTTCATTTCCATACAAACTCACCGAGATAAATACCTACCATTAAAAGTTGACATCAAATAAAGTATATAGATATCACACACACACAAATATATCTATACTTTAGAGTATTTATAGCATTTTATTATATTTTTGTTGAACTGCTGTTGTTCATTTCAGTGTTGAATTAACCAGAGATGAACAAAGAAAATCATAAATACTGGTAGTAAATAAAGTATTAATAGGAAAGTGATGTTGTGATGTTTATGATTATAGACTTACTCTCTGTTGGTTTTTGCAAAATATAAAAATTGTACTTGACCTTTTTTTTTCATTTCCATACAAACTCACAGAGATAAATACCTCCAATTAAAAGTTGACATCAAATAAATATTAATATATTGATATCAAACACACACAATTATAAAATAAAATAAATAAATAAATAAAACAAAACAAAAATACTACATATATGCTAAAACATCCCAATAATTCTTGACTTAAAAATGGTCTTATTTAAGTATATTATACCTGTTTATTGTGTTGTTAATGTTTTTATTTAGGGATTTTTAAGAATGGATTATAAGTTCAAGTATTATATTTTATTACGGCAGACAGACAAATGAATAAATATAAATAAAAGATTGATTCTTAAAAGCATTTAATGTAATTGTCATCTCAGCATGAGTCAGGTTTGTAATAAATGGATTTACGATAGATTATTTTATTTATATCATATATGATCTTTAATTTAGTATTTGATAGAATAGCTTTCCTAGAATTAGTAGTAGGCTTACATCCAGAGATAAGCATTAGAATTTCTAGTACAGGTATGCAAACATTGCAAACCTGATTTTAAGAAACTCAGCTTATTCAACAAAATGGAAAAAGTATTAACACAAAGAAACTTTTAAATACTGTAAAAAGAATTAAAGAATTGACACAAAAAGAATAATTATGAAAGAGTAAACAAATTAGTTATTCAAAACCTAGGTACAATGTCATGTGATTTGAATTTGGATCAGAAAACTTAAAAGTTCTTTAAATATAACCCTCTTATTAGAGGTAACAGTGGGCAGTGCTTGTCATTTGCATATCTGTCAAATGTCAGTTGGCACTGCTTTGTGGCGTCTATGGATCCTCTGAGGCCAACGAAAATTTTATTTTGATTTGAAATAAAAGAGGACAAAAAAGAAAAAAATGTAATGTGCCTCTTATCTACCGTACTCCTATGTGTAAGATCCTTTGAGGTGCTTGCTCATTTTCTGTGGCTGGCCCCTCTTGTTGGAATGAAATCCCATTTATCACTCGTACTGAATCGGTTGGGCAATTCAAATCTGAACTTAAAACTTTACTTTTTTGTTCTCATTTTTATTGCTTGTTTTTGTTTTTTTTTTATTCATCGTTCTTGGTCCTTTTTGACTTTTTGTTGGGATAACATGCATCATAATTTTTGAGGCAGCGGCGCCACGAGAATCTTCATATCATAGATGATAGATACGTGTACCTGATAAATCTCCGATTGATTTATAGATTGATTTGTTATTATTTATTATAGCTTACTATAAAATTGATAACCACTAAAGCTCTATTTTTTTTAACAATTATTTTGCATATTTGTGGATAGACAGTAGGCTTACATTTGTTACATTTTTTTACTTTATATTTACTTTTTCTGTATCGTATTATTCTTCCAAAAGGTCAAGTGTTTCCTTAACGAATAGAAAAAGATAAAATGCTCAGGGCATTTTTTTATGCTCATTTGATATAGATTGAATCATTCATGAAGTGCAACCTCATTTGGTCCCTGGGAAATGTTCTTTGGCCCCTGGGGAATATTCCCAGTTATGGATCAGTGACTTTACAGTAATTCACATGCTACCAGTTACTACCCAATTGGTGTTCAAAAAACCTCTCATTTGATATAGGATCAGTCATGCACGATGTGCAACCTCATCTGGTCCCTGGGGAAAAGTCTTCGATCCCTGGGAATATTTCCAGTTATAGATAAATTTCTTTCCAGATCATTCACATGCTACCAGGTACCCATTTGGAGTTTAAAGAGTGCCTCTCATTTGATACAGAATCAGTTATGCACGATGTACAACCTTATCTGTTCCTGCGGAATATTCTTTGATCTCTGGGGAATATTCCCAGTTACGGATCATTCACATGCCTCTTATTTGATACAGAATTGGTAATGCACCAAGTCTTCGATCCTTGGGAATTTTCCAGTTATGGGTAAATTTCTTTCCAGATTTTCTTTCATTTCTTTATTTCCTTTCTCTTAAATTTTTGAAAGTAACAATAACATTCACAGATCATTCACAAGCTAACAGGCACCCATTTGGTGTTCAAAAAGAGGCAAACGTATTGTCTTGGTTTGACACAGCACAGTTTCAGTCTCGAACCCATCGCCTCTCATTTGAAAGCCTGAAACTATACAATTCTGTGCTACCTGAAATCTTGCCTTTACTACAGCTTCTACACTAATTTACATAAATTTACATTTTTGTGTCTGTCCAAAGTCACTTTAAAAGGAAGTCAAACCAAGGTTGTCTCATTCGGGCTGAGAAATTGGTACTCAAAATGTGTTGACGTGCTTGGTTTGAAATTGCTGTCGTCCCAGGTAAGATACTAGATTGACGCTTGTTTGACATTTCTGCCGTGTCATCGTAGCCTGTGGCCAACAAGTGACTGATAGCCAAGTTGAAGCTTGTCAACTCTAGTCTTTTAAGTCATGTTTGATAGGGAGATTTTTTTTGCATGGCGATGGTAGGACCTAGAGCTTAATGACGTCACTAAGAAGTCATCTGCGCGTTCAAGAGTGTTCAGTTCTCATCGTCTGGATTCTAGGACGTAATTTGGCCCGAATCTGTGTTAAACAGAGATCATCACCGTTATCATTATCTTAAACATTAAATCTTAAATAGAATTTATTTAACTCATTGGCGAGTTTAGTATCATTTTTAAACCCACATGTTTGGATGCTAACTTACTTAAACTTTTTTTCCCCATCCATACCAGTAGCAGTTTTTAATTCTAAACAGTAATAGACCTAGAGTCTTTTCCTGAGAAATTATTAAACTTTAATACCATATTTAACTCTTTTTTTTCTTTTACTTTTTTCTTTACTTCATTACATAGTTCCCCTATATGCTGCTTGGTCAATGCTTTTAAACATTTCATTTTTCTTCCTAATTTGGTCACACAACTTTTTTGAAAACCATGGTTTTCTGTTTTATATTTTGACTTTTACTGCTGGGACAATTATAGACTCACAAAATTTTAGTCTGTGACGGTTTGAGCTGCTTCATTTACTGAGTCTGGTGAGTCCAGCCCCTCCAGACTATCAAATTTTATTTGACAAAGAAATGTGACATGCCTAAATAAGGTCATGATGACATCACATCAAGCCCATATATATATATTTTGGTCGCTAATAACTTTTTATCCCTCTCACATAGACGTAAAGAAGAATTGAAGTGGATTCTTAGAACCAATTCTTATATTAACGGTTTAAATAAAGACTTAGATTACTTATCAGACTATTCATTTATATATACTTAATTTTTTTCTTGGTTCCTAGGCCTTTATCCAGCTTTTATCTATTTTGTTTATTCCATATTAAGTAGAACGTTTAGGATGCACATCTTACTACGCGCCTTTGTTCTTTACCGCTGATTCGATGTTCTGTTTTCGTTTCGTGTGTGAATATTGCTTTACTTTGTATCTTTTGTCAGTTGTCCTCACACTGAGGAAGAACACAGGAGTGTTTGAAATATTTGTGAACATACTGTACATAAATTGCCTTAAAATACTTGAACGATAAAAACATGATATTGAAAGACGTAATGACTGTCTCTTATACACATCTAGATGTGCTGAACCAAAGTATACAATACAGCCACACTCTTATGCCAATTACTCAGTTTAACATTTACAGACAGTACGCTGGTTTTAGAATGGCAAGCCTCGTAAAATACTCAGCGATTTACTTGTACAGTATTTGTGTGAATTTCCGACATTGGGTGGGTTTTTATTTCTCAGTACGTAATGAGGAGGAAGGAGAAATAACCATTTAGTCACCCTTGTTAACAAATGCTTGAGTGGCAGAGTCCCTTCTCTCCAAAACACTTTCACCTCAGTTGACAGTGTTCATAACTACTCTACCAGATCCAGTTCTGCAGGAAATTTAATTTTGCCTAAAGTCAGAACTGAATCTGGTAGAAGAAGTTTTACTTTTAGGGATTCTCGAATTTGGAATGCGGGGGGTAGGTAATTTTTTTACTTAATTCGTGTTTGTTTTTTGATGTTCTGTGTTGTTTCTCTTGCGATTTTAATGTTTTATGTGTACTGGGCCCTCTGGGAGAACAGTAACTTTTTACTGAAGAGGTAACCGAGTATAAAGAATAAATAAATAAAAATAAATAAATAGTGGCATTGAATAACCCATACCCTTGTACCTACCCCAAAATCCATACAGCGGCATACCTAGGAAACTTTAAATGGGGGAGGGGCTAATTGGGGGCGCAAAGGTAGAGTGGGGGGCACTCAATGATTAGGTGAGGGGGAGGCGATACAAGCTTGCAAAATAAGGTGATTAGGGGTGATTTTTAATCGTAATTTTTTTGGGGAGACAACTGGGGAGCACCCCTTTCCCCTCCCTTAGGTACGCCATTGAATCCATACAGGAATTGTGTCCCAGAATTTCAATCTAGGAGGTTTACAGTATGCTGTCTTCTATTTCTGGTACCTTTGCTTGACACATCTCATTTGCGAGAGAAACTTAGTGAATAATCAAATCGCTAGTGTATCGTACTGTAATAGGGTGATGATGTTGACTCAGCCTAATGTAATCCAGTCTTGAGGTGCTGGGAAAAGACTAATATGCAATAATAAATGATGACTTTGTAGATATTAAACAGCTGGGACTTGCAATGATGTTGATGATGAGTTTACCTCTTTTTTTTATGTTATGAACTGCTCTTTATCTGTTTTCTTATTCTCTATTTTTAGCCACACTATGATAGTTGGCAGTTGTAGCAGGAAGCGTTCCTCTAACATGGAGTGTTATGGGTATGTGCATTTTAATTTTCAAACTGGATAAATATTTTTGAGTATTAACAGTATGAACAACTGATGAAATGATATATTTTTTATTTATTTATTATTTTACTATGTATAACATCTAATATGTTGTACATACAGTATGTCACTGGCTCTGGCAAACCAGCCATTTGCCGGAAAAATTTAAAATTGAATTTTTGGTTTTGTTAGATTCTGCATGAATTTTTTTTTATTTGATGAAAATTGGTTTTGAGTATTAGCAAAGTTATGAATATTTTATAATTCATTGGATGCCAGCCATGTAGATTTTGAAAAAACAACTTCCAAAGATTCCAAAATCAGTACCGGTAGTTTATTATTAAGACTTGTTGTATTTTAAAAACAATTTTAATATACTCAGTTAGATTTAGTGATGGATTTTTTGCAGAAATGTTCTTTAATGTTGTCTTTTTATAAAATGCAAAAACCTGAAAATGTTCAAAATGTTGATTCTCGAACGAATAGGGAACTCTCCTTTAGCGATAATTTTGCAATTAAACTGTTAGAAATGCCTAATCCATAGAGACTCACTACTAACTATTTCTGTAATTGTGGTTGGTTTACCTTGAAAAATTAGTTGAAAGTGTGTGCAACTGCCATTGCCTATCTATCTATCATATGGACAATTCGACAATCGAGTAACTAGTATTTAATCAGTTCAGTTTTTATGTTTTGGATAGAATACTATATCATACTAAAATATTTAAAAAAAAACTAAAATATGCAATTAAATCTTTAAATTGTAGAAAGGGATCAACTAAGTTATCAACATTTTAGTCAGGTTTACAAACTACAGTACTACAAAAATTGCATTTTTTATGCAAAAAATATGTAGTTCTGGTATTAAATATTTTCTCTCTTTTAGTTAAAAATCTAATAAGTTGCATTGCTTGAGAAATTAAAATGTTTACTTTATGTCATCAAGTTTAAATTTGCTCAAAATGGTCAGTATTCTGCCTTTACAGTAAAAATACAATACAAATACATACCATAACATTCATGTTTAATCGCACATATAAAACACAGTTCACCCTCCAATTTTAAGACCATCAGGATGATCTCCAGTTGAGTACTGTTTAAAAGACTGAAAAAGTGATCTTGGAATTAGATGGGTCTCGATTTGGAGGGTGAACTGTTACTATGGAAACTACCACAACAAATTACTTTCTTGAATTACACTGCTACAGGTGAATCGGAATTACCGTAGATGGGTCTAAAATGGGAGGGTGGACTGTACTGTATTACAGTGGAGTGCTACAACAAATGAATTCTTGTACACTTCCTTTATGAAACCAACAAAACTTCTGTATTCTTCTAAAACTAAATAATCAAGTCAATGATTTACTTTTTTTACTACTATTGTTCGGCATCTAGAGGCTACTTGCACAATATTCTCTGATATTTGACAAATTCATATTTTGGTAGATCAGACCAGGTCCCCAATGGAGCCTAGGAAAACAAATTTACTTTTATTGATATAAATTGGTAAAAGTGTGCTGGATATATTGCGAGGTCTACTTTGTGATTACTTACCTGGGTAAACTGATTGCCTACGGTATTCACTCCTAATAAGTAATAGGACAGTCTGTCTCTTTAAATACTTAATTCACGGGAGACCAAATGAGACATGTGCTAAAGGTTACAAGAACTTTAGGAAATTACTATACCATCATCTTCACATATGAATTCAAACCGTGCCATTAGTGAGTACAATTAATAAGCAGACAGTAAAGATACACAGGACTCCCTAGTTGAAAGAACTCGCTTTCGGGAAATCTGGTAAAATGAGCTTTCGTATTAAACGCATCTTTTTATTTTTCCGCGCACCGTGATACCCATCGTCGCCAATTTCCTTTTGATAATTGATAAATAAAGGAGTGAAAACATGCAAATACTATGAATTGCGGAAGGTGAGTCATCTTCCGGGATATTCGTGCATGCTTGGGGTAGTGCAAGAGGCTGCCCCGATTAGGAGACTCCTGTGATTTGCGGTAGACTTGGGAGCCTTCGGGTACACACAACTTGACTTTGCTGATATTATGCATGCTAATACTGTATGCGTCTTCACATGGACACGATGTAGCAGGGAACACATCCTAATACTTTTTTCCTAACATGTGCTCCATGGAAAATTTTGTCTCATCTGTGAATTGGGTGTACAAGTAAATTAGATTTTAAGTTTAATGTTTGCTTGTACAGTATTCATGATTAATGTCTATGTCCCATGGTGTTAGAATATTAAAGTTAATGAAATAATCTATTGCTCGGGAGTATTTTTCTTTATTTTAGGATTTTTTTAGGAATATTTTATATAAATAATTTTACTTTTTGAAGTAGTTCTCAAGGTTTTGTAGAAGATCAAATTGCTTATTTTGATTTATTGAAATTACAGTACTTTTTAGCTTTTTGTAATTACAAAATTAAAGGAAAGTACTTTTTTATGGAGTATTATCATGGTAAGCTGATTACACAAACATTTGTAGGTAAACTGTTTAAGAAGAATAATAATATACAGTATAAGTTTACTTTTATTGATTGTATGTTTGTTCTTTTATTTTGTATTTTAAACTGAACCACTCTGGAAACTAGTACATTGCATTAACATTGTTCAGAATAAAGAGTCTGCAGAGCAGAGATGAAGAGAGGGTATAAAGCAAAGGGATACATTTAGTTATAGAGAGAAATAAAATAATATACAATACTGTAATTGAATTCTGGAAAATATATAATGACTGTAGGCTGTTTTGTGTTACCTGTATTGTATTCATCTAGTGTGCTTGCTATTGTCCATTTCTCTTTGCCATGTTGTTTAATAACTTAAATTTTTGTATTATTAGTATCCAATGGGAACATTTGAGCACAAATTGCTGTTTTCACTCTTTTTTTTAAATATTCGATTAGAAAATTTAGAGTAGAATTTTTTTAAATAATTAACTTCAAGTACAAAACTGGGACTTCTCTAACACTAATGAGCCTACAGTAGCTGAAGCCATGACCTTGTTTCATCATCATCATCATCTGTTCGCTTGGACATCGTTAGTAGACTTAGCGTTTTACGCCCTCTATTATCAGATTCCATCTCTTCCTATCAGTGGCCAACTCCCTCACTTCTCGTGTTTCAGCAGTGTTCTTGATTCATTGTTCGTTAAAGTTCTATTCATGCTTCTACATTGCGATGATTATACTACTGTAGGGTCCTCAAAAAACTTTACCTCACACGTCGTACAGCTGAGCACTGACTGGGTCGAACAAGAATTCTAAAGCCACTCACTGTGTGTGATAGACAACACTGCACTCTCTACTGCCTTTTAGTGCCAGTCTCAATAATGGAATAATGGAAATTTGTCTTGTGTATAATATGAAGAACTTTCTGGCTTTAAAGTTTGATCACAACAGTCAGAAATATTAGATTTGTATGTCAGTCCACACATTCAGCCACTGACACTCTACAGGCGGTGTGACATTGTGCAACACTCACAGAGAGCGCAGATCCATTTAGCGGCTGATGATCTTTGACATGCCGGGTTTTAAGAAACTCCAGAATCAACTAGTCTATCCGGAAGACTGCCCAAATGAAACCCGGGCATTCGCTGACACGATTCTATGAAGAACACAACGTGCAGGCAATGGATCATTTTTAATGACAATCCGACACTCGGCAGATGTTGTGTCATCTAGCGTTCACGGGAAGCTTAGTTGGATTTGTCGTGCGACGGTCATACGACTGTTGTACGATGCAGTGAGTGGCTTTAGGCCACTTGATTGTGTAATTTAATGCATCTTTAAAATTAGAAAGAGAAGCATATGTAAAGCCCTGTCATGGCATGCCTAATTATGGTCATGATATGATGTCATCATATATAGGCATATCATGACCATATATGGGCATACAACCACTTTTTTTCAAATAAAATTTGATAGTCTAGACTTAAAATCAGAAAGTTTAAATTGTATTCATTGCTTAAATTATTGTTTAGAATTATTGATTGCAAATATCAGTACTGTATAGCATATCGGTAATTACATTTGTCTGATTGTACAGTGGAACTACCTCATTATGTGTACTTGGAGAAATGCCAATGTCATCGCACCACTAAACTGAAGAGTTTATTCTGGTGAAGATATTGGCAATCTATAATACCTGTTGAATGATTGGTTTTTGATTAGATAATTTTTAATTAATATATTGTGCTCATCTTCTATTTATTGTCGCATATCCTCTATATATTGTGCTCATCCTCTATATATTGTCTCCAGATTTCTCAACTCATTCATAACTTTTGCATTAAGATACTACAACTCAAGTGCATAAATTTATGGTTTCACCTGTCTGTTTTAACTGTATACATAGGCCATATCATTTTACATATTTATATTTGTTACTTTTCTTGTTATATTTTTGATGTTTATATATATTTTTGTATCTGTGAATTGTCACACCCAAACAGAATTTCTGTATTTTGGACAATAAAATTATCTTGAATCTTAAAATCTCTGATTGTTATTTATCTCAATGTATTACATTTATGATATTAAGACAAAATAAAATAGTTAAAATAAAGCAATACTGCCTTTACATTTAATAAACTTGAAAATTAAATATATGAGGCATGTTGTGGCAAAATTGCTAAGTTGTAGCAAAAATTGAAATTCAAGTTATTGTTATTTTCAGTTAGCTGAGTATGTGATCTTTAAAATGAGGGGGTCATTCATTGAAATTGGAAATTTCAAGCCTAAGTTATTGGAAAGTGAAAGTACAGTACTCTTAGAATCAAGATAAACATGATTTTGAGTAATTGCCTTTAAAAGTTATTTGTGCATACTGTACATTGTTTAATAGAATGAACTATCAAAATAACATTAAATAAACAATTTCTTGACCACTTCCAGAACTAATACTTTGGTACACGATTAATAAGACATTAAACTGTTGATCTATAGTGAAAAACACATTCAAATTTTTGTGCAATTTTTTGAGCTCCCATATATTATATAGCTCATTTACTCAATACAGGCCTGTGCGACAACTTAACCATTTCACCACGACATGCCTCATATATAAATTGGGGAAAAAAATGTTTGTGCCTCTGACTATGAAAGTTGTCTTGACAAAATGGCTCCAGCACCAAATGCTATCTGTACAGTATATAGCTCAACAATTTACATTTTTGAATTTTCCCCCCATAATGTCTCTGGGACATTAATGTTTCCCCCAACCGCCGGGTGCATGGTCATGCACTTGTTCCAGCTCTGTTGGTTACTTGTATAAGTTATAACTAAAAATTAAAATGAGAACTAGACTTACTGTCTATTTGTACCATAGAACATAGGGTTTTACCTCATTGCTATAATGAGAAATGAAGTTGAAATTGCAACAAAAAGAAAAGTTGGCAAAAGTATAAAGTTAAAAAAAACAAAAACACGGAAAACGAAAATACTTATAGTACATAATTATGAAGTAAAAAAAATATAACAATAAAAACCAATTTCACAACTAGCGCGATGATGTTAGTGAGATTCAAACTATTGCTGCAATGGTAATAGCGAGGTACATCGAGACTCATAAGCATTGCGCGCTATATGGGCCAACCTTGTATAGGCCAGGGCAATTTTTCGTTCATATAAATTCAGTGACTAAAAACAAAAACTATTTATGCATATCACGGTAGTTTCGAGATTAACCTAGCTGCAGCTGGTTTAAACTCTTTAAAAAACTTTTCTTTAATTTAATCAACTGTCCAAATAAATCTTGAATTCCATGGTCCTCATATCGATAACCTACTGCAGATCGTCACCACAATTTGATCATTTCTTCATTTGAACATTTATTAATTTCTTTACTAGACTTTGACAAGCTATTACAGAAAGTTTCATTTATTACCCATTGATTTTTTTTAGGGACCTCAGTAATTTCAGTTACCCTCAAATTTACACCCTCAACTGGATTTTCCCCAACACGTAATACTTTCTTAGGTATGTATGCAAGAAAAAAGAAAAATCAGAACAAAAACAATAGCTTCTTCGGCTACTGCTGGGAAAAGCCAAAAATGTACTTTCCAGGTTTTTAAAAAATCCTGTCATTCCTATATACTACTATATTTTCTGTCTGCAAATTTATGGATTTTTGTAGAACATCTGTAAAACATTGATTTTTGATCTCTGCATAATTTTTTTTTGACGTCCTTCCAAGTCAGTGATTCAGTTTTTACCTGTAGATTTTTTTTTTTATTTATATATTTTTTTTTCACTTTGCAGTGAAAACGATTGTTGCATCATCTCTCAAAACACCTTGAGCATTGAGTACATATGTATACCATATATAATGTACGTGCAACAGATGTCTTTTGGCCCTAAATCTTGAGGTCAAGGGCTCAAATCAAACCCATGCTATTATTTTCACCTTGGGACAAAACAGTTTACCTTTGGTTGTCTCTACCCAGGAGTATATACGTGCATACTTCGTAGGTTTCATTGCCAATGCACAGATTACTAGATGCAACATTTATAGAATATTCCCCAAAGGGGCTTAAGATGTGTTGCATATTTGCTTGGCCCATTGAATGAGGTAATGATGTACTGTAAGCATGTTATTAACATAATATTTCCTCCACCAAATGTGGTTATGTTTTCACCTCTGGCTGGCTGTCTGTTTGAAAGATTACGCAAAAACTAATGAATAAATCATCATAAAATTTGTGGAATGGTACATAATATTCAAAGAAAGAGATGATTAATTTTGGGGAGAAAGGTCAAAGGTCAAAGTCACTGAAAATCAATTTTTTTTTAAAACTCAGAACATAGAAAAAAAATAGTGAAATGATGACTGCTTATGCATTGTTCATTATTCAGGCACAGGGCAGAGGTATGCACTCTGTAAAGTGACTACTCTAGTTACTATGTTATTCTTAAATTTCTTTTTCCATCTTACAGGGATTCAAGCGAGGATGACAACAGCACCAGCACCAGCACCAGCAACTCTATACTACTAACAGATGACGAGTCAAAGAAGTTTGCAAGGTGTGTTTTGATTGGATGAGAATATTTTTTCTCAACACTTGTTGTTTTGCAAAACCATTCATATAGATTCATTGAAAACACATTCTATAAAAAGTCCACATAAATCACTTTCTAACATTACAGTATAATAATAGACCTACCATTTATTTTGGAGAACAAATAATATTGACACTTGAGGGAGATGTTCAATTAAGTGCAGCAGCTATTTTAGGACGTTTCATTGCAGTCCTTATTGGAGTTTGTATATGAAAATAGTTCTATGTGTTGTAAAACGCCTGTATTTCCTATTGGAATGATAGATCCTTCTCCAATTGTAGACTCTGTTTATTCCTAGATACTTCTAATTTGAGACAATTTATAAGTTAAAGGCATACTTTAACTAACATGGGGTACTGGCATACTCAACTATTAAGGTCCTATTAACCCACATAACTCTGCCCTTATGCAACATTAGGGTAGAGATCCCAATATAATAAATGATCCTCATACATCTACCCTACCTACATTATCATAAATATTTATTTTAATTGTTCAGTATTTTTATTTAGTAGCATCAGTATTCAAATCAGAATAATGTTATTTGTTATGTTTTTTTTTTTTTTAATCACACCCAACAGTGGATAACCTGCTACTTACAGAATGGATTAACAATAAAATACATGTATGAATATATATATATTTTAAAGAGAGAAGCTAAAAAAACAGACATAGTAAGGAAAAAACAGACAAAAAACAACGAACCAAAATGTATGTTACCAATTATTTCTAACAAATGAAATGTTTCTAAAACTTTCTACAACAGAGACTTCAATCTCATACAGTATACCAATAATCAGCTGTAGAAACTCTCCAAAAAAGATTTTGTTTTTGTTTTCTGCAGACAAAACCATAGCGAGATAGAGAAACGTCGACGAGAAAAAATGAACACATATATCCAAGAACTGTGCAATATTATCCCATCCTGTAGTGCTATGAAATCCAAACTAGACAAGCTAACGATCCTGAGGATGGCAGTGCAGCACATGAAGTCATTACGTGGTAAGCATCAATCAATCAAGTTGTCTCCCACATGACAAACTCCCACCATTAACTGTTCTGTTCAATGTGTTCAGAGTGTAATAAATGTGTGTGAACCACACCACATATTTTATTTAAAGTTCATGGAACTTTAAGGGTACTGTGGTTAACACTAAACGTCAATCACATAGTAAAATAAAAGAAAACTTTTTTAAGGTAAGTACATTGCTTTATGGGAATGTCATGAATGTTGGAACTGCTCCGATAAAGGGATGGCTGCCATCAAAAAGAAAGTTTAAATTTGACTTTTGAACACAATCTGTAATAAAATTCATGCAAACAGCGCAACTCTGATAAAATTGACTGAGCAAGTGCTAATACAGTACACATCTGAACATTTTTAAAAAATATAGCCTCAGATAGACAGACTGTACATACATAAAATTTTACTGATAATATTAAGATATCAATGGGACGTGACTCCAGTGAACGACAAGGGAGTAGAGAAGGTTATAATTTGTGCTGGTTTGCCATTGTATGTTGTCCAGTGACCAGAGGTAATAACGGTCGCTCCTTTTGATCATTTAATTTGAAATTGGTGCCTTATAAATATTTGGGTATTATTATTATTATAAATTTGGATTTGTGTTTTTATTCAGGGGCAACAATATCATGCAAGGAAGCAAACTATAAACCATCATTTTTATCGGAAGATGAGATAAAGCAGTTGATATTAGAGGTAAGAGAATCCACGCCTGTAACCATGGAAGTTTGTTATACAGTACTATTTCATCTTGGGTTACTACAGCCTTAACATCGGCGCTGGTTCCAGCTGCTTCTCACCCAATGTTTTGGTTGGTAGAACCAAGTCTTCTCGGATAAGGACTTAAAATGGAGGCCCAGTGTATACACCTGGCTCGTGTGCACTTTAAAGAACCCATTGCATCTTTCGGAACAGTAGTGGGGGTTGCCCCCATGTTATACTTCATTTCAGCCCCTGTTGTTGTGGAATGATGTGTACGTGTAGCTACTATAAGCGCCTCTTTATGGCTGCTAGGTAATTCTAGCCCAAGCCCATACGCAATTCAGCACAATGAGGCTGCAAGATATGGGTTATTGTCCTACCTTTACCTACTTTTCTGTGGTTTGCCGGTCGAACATTCTTTTCAAGCGAATTCTCTTGTGATTTGCCAAACCACCTCTTCCTCAGCATAAATAAATCATCAAAATGTTGCTATAATTTACCATTTACCGACTAGAAAGATTCAGGTGCAAAGAAATTATCCTCTCCCACCCATATATGGGCTCTTTCCCATCCCGCCCCTCCCCGATTGTGCCTAGGCGCCCTTGAACTTTGGATGTTGTATGAAATTCCCACTTTTATTTGGGTTCCTGATTTAAAGATACTGATATCACAAGTACCCCTGACAAAAATGGCAGTATTCTTTATTTAAGGTGACAAAATATTTTTTTTTTAGTTTCACTATGTATTTTATTATTTTATTACAATTAATATTGTTTTCTTATACAAACATCTCCCAATTACATACCCCTCCGTCCAAACACAGTTCGTAAATAAGAAAATTTGTAATTTAGAGAGTTCGAATTTTCATAGAATCTTAGTGTGGTGAGGCCGTCTAGGCCTATACTACAAAGTACAGGGCTAGGTAGGCCTAAGTCTGGTCTTGGGAGCAACATTTTGTCACTAAATATGACTTGGATTTAACTGTTTTCTGCAACAAAATAATACTTTACAGAAGCCAGTTAAGTATTCATTTGAAGTGATTTCCGAATGAAAACATTACCATAATGGCCAAAAGTGTATTATTCTCTTCAAAAAGATCCCGGATCCAGGCGAATAGCGCCCCCAATGAAAAAAGTGAGATTTACTATGCCTGAACAAGCATGCACAGCTCAAATGTAATATAATATCGGCTGAAATGATATTTTTTGCTTTAAACTTAGTTTTATGCCATTTTATTGATTTTTTTTATTGATTTTTTTCTTTCTTAGCTGATGTAACACTTTATATTATTTTTGAAGACTAAATACAATTTTAAGCATTTTTGTAGTTGAAAACGATCATTTGTAATGATGTCATCACTGCAAATGGGATTCGTATAAGTTGAGAGTTCGTAAATGGGAGGTTCGTAATTGGGAGATGTTACTGTACAGTACTATTGATCTTGATGTACCAGCACTGTACTACTGTATGTATTCAGTATAATTTATATATATTTATAATGTTCTTTTATTAGCATTTGGCTATCTTTCTTATTACACATTTTTATTATTTTTAATATGATGACTCATCATGGAAATTTAGTTCCACCATGCATTTTTAGTTCCATTTGAGCATTTTCTTTCTATCCGTTTTTGCCCATTGTATGGTGCCTAGGATAAGTTATGACGATGAACCTAATACAATCTTTTGATTGGTTAAAGAGACGCTGGACTGTCCTATTTAGAAAAAGGGTAGATTTTTTTCAGAAAAGACCAACTGACAAGAATCTCCATTCAGAAAAAGGTAGATTATTTAAATTTTTGTTTTTTTTGTAATACATAAGGAAAAACCCATATAAAACACTGACAGGATATAAGTTCAGCAGTAATCCGACCAGGTGGTCAGTACTGCTCAAAATCAACTGAATTACAAATAGGTGGATCTACTAAACGAAAGAGAAAATACTCTTCTTATGCAATCTTTTTTTTTTTAGCAAAACGTTTGAGGAAGAAGGTGGAAAGGAAAGTGCTGTGTTGACATTTTAACAAAAGTGTTCTGAAAATCATCTAGACAGAAGAGAAATTAAAAATCAAGTTTTATTGACGATGAATAAATCTATTAATAGACTATGGCTGTTCTCACACGGCAGTTACAGTTAGCAGGATCCGGATCCTGCTAACCGTTAGCTGCTGTGCGTCCATGCGAGAAAATCCTGATCCGGATACCAACAATATGATGATCGAATCACTGGCCAATAAGAAACTGGAAATTGTAAACGTGTACCTGTGATTGGTTGATGATAGAAACGCCCTCAACCTTGCTAACCGATAGCACTTGCTAACCGTTAGCGTATCCGGATACCGCTAACGGCTCCCCGGCTCCAGAATGAATAGAACCGTCACTGGCAATCAGTTGAACTTTTCTCTGAGACATTTATTTAAAGTTTGTTCTTAAACGATGGTGCTGCAGCAATGATTGACATCCTATAATATGGTCATAACTAACTTGTAAAATTTAATCTCCAGCTTTCATCCACTGTGTCACGGTCACAGTGTGGACAATAACTAGTGATTAAATTTTACAAGTTAGTTTTAAAAGTGCTGCTGTCATTTCTTTTATATTGTATAATAATATGATAGTCATTTCAAAAACTTGCTTTGTGCTTCTACTGTGACACCTTGAATAGAATCCCCATGGGCTTAATCTCGAGCAGAAGCCCATTTTGAAAAGAACCCTCCTCTTTAGTTCGCACAAGTAATCTCGAGCAGAAGCCCATCTCAAAAAGAAGCTTCTAATCAAGATAATATGGGCTTCTTTTGAGATAGGACTTTACATTCAGACTGACGTTATCTTTAATTTTTTTGATGGCCTGTCGTCAGTGTCAATATTATTTTATTGTACTAGCATAGGTAAAATTTAAATAGAATTTTGAATTCCATAGTTAAAAAATGTTGTATACCGTAGTAGCAATTCAAAAATTTACAACACTTATTTTGAAAAGAAGCAACCCCCCCCCCATGTTTAATATTCTACAACGCGACTGCCCCCGATGCACACCATCGCGTCTGCGTTTAACTCACACAGGCCCGACGCGACAACAAATCGCGTTGGGCTGCGTCGTACGACGCTGTCTGAGTTGGCCTTTAGGGAACTTTAAAAAAAGAGTCAAGGTTTTACAGTATATTTGTGGTGGGAGTTGGAAACGATAACCTGTGGCTGGTCAACTTACAGTCTTAAATGTTACCTAGTGAATCCAAAAAACTACACACACTTTCTATGTCTTAAGTTTTGTAGCCATTTTATCTGAATTGATTCAGATTTAGAAATAAATACTCAATGCATAAGTGCCTTTGATTTATCTAACATATCAATATTGACATATATCATTTTGTTGTTTTGAAAGAAAATGGTTTTTTTTCCCTATATCATGAGGTAATTGCCGGATGTTTAATATCAGGAGACTCAAAAGCAAACTGCAAACAACAGCTGAAAATGTACCATCAGCTGTTGTTGGAAGTTCAAAATTTGTTTTTAATACTCTTTTCATTTACAAATTACATTAAATGCACGTAGAAGCATTTGGTACAATATATCCTGTCTAAATAGATGACTATTATTGTTATTCATGGTCGACATCGCTTTCCGTTTTGTCAGCATCATAGTCTCCATTATTATCAGTCTTGGTCGTCAAAATCATCATCATCATCATAGTCTTCATCATCATTCAACATCATCATCATGTTTTTTATCATAATCATTATCATTATTTTTTTATTGATTAATTTTTATTTTACGTGTAGGAATCTGCCTGATACTCTTGGCAGCCCCTTGGTTCAGACCCATTTTTAGGACATGTCAGACCCTTGTTGACAAATTGCTGGAGCCACTGGCAGGAATTATGGCATCTAAGACAGTTTTTTCATAGATGCCTAAAAATAAGTTCTCTCACCACTTTAAGTGGTTTTTTTTACAACCATACATTCAAGGATGACTTGCAGTAGTAGTATGTAAAACATTAGTAAGAGCAAGAATGCTATTTCAGAATATCTGATATATTACTAATTTTCATCTGGCCGTACAACATTGTTACTTTAATATATGGGAATAAGAAATACATTTACTTAATACGGAGATTGTAATTTTATAATTTTTTCAGAGACCTACTGTATATAATTATTACCAAGTACCCATTAATACTCCTGGGTGGAGAGAGACAAGCGTAGGTAAATTATCTTGCCCAAGGACACAAGCGCAAAATTCACAGTGAAGGTTCAAACCTCCAACCTCAAGGTTGAAAGACCAAAATGTAACAGCTGTGTCAACTGCTCCCACTACAAGTGGTTCTGTTGTACTTATGCTAGTAATTTTACCTTCCTTGCTGTCTTTTTCTTTTTCCATAATCCACCTCATACCAATTTCCACTTCCGGTCGTTCACTACATCGTACAATGAAACTCTGTTCCCAATGAGGGCTAGACAGCGCGAAGCTGTGAGCGGTGCCTTTATTATTGATATATAGCGCCGTCGTGTGGACGGGGTAAAATTGCTTTCCCTTCTCCGACAATGCAATTCGACCGGATGTTCCAATATATAACACAAAGCTCCTCCATCTTCTGCTGTTTATTATCATTGGTCTAATCAAGACATACCTAGAGTTAAATCCCCTTCTTAAGATGTAGTGTTCCTCATGTGATAGGTGATCCTCTCAGGAAAGTTCGCCCACATGTTTTCTAGCATATTACTGCTTACAGTTAAAACAGTCTTATATTCAACAAATCATTCAACTTAATTGCTTTTTTTCCCATGACGCTAGCTTTGTTTTTATCTGTTGATTAGGTAATTAGAAGGTAACAGATAGAAGTGAAAAACTGGGAAGAATATATTATTTTTAAAATGCACTGAAGAAATTTAGGCGAAACCTTTAAAATTAGAAAAAAACGAGTTCTTTGTTATAACTACCCTACAAATTTTAAAATAATAGGAAAAGGAAAATACAAGTGTTTAGGAAACAACATTACAGAAGATGAGGGTACAAACTTTCAAATATTATATACCAATAATATGATGATACAAATCAAACACCAGGGGCAAGAATGAAATGTTCTACCATCAAACAACTTTAGGATAGTGGTTGTAGAGTAAGTTACCATTATTTATAGCCGTATTTGACAATTTCTGCATAATGTGTTCTAAAACATCTCAGAAGATAAATATGCTCTGTATATTTTCTGGCCTTCATCCCACTAGCTTTCACCTGACTTTTTGGAGACCCCTGCGGGACATCTTTTTGCCCGATACTATATCATATAGCCATCAATGTTACCACCCACAAACCTCTCGCTATTATTAGGTGTATGAATTAAGTATACAGAACACTATCGTCTATGACAAATGCTTAATTGAATAAAAGGACATCCTGGAATTTGTCTCATTTACAAGAATGCTTCAAGCTTCTACACATCATGTGAGAGAGTAAAATGTCAAGATTTTGAGGAAGGGGGTGTAAGAACATCAGAACTTCAAATGTTATTGCTAGTACTGTTTTTAGTTAAGAGTTGGGGGTGATAACTAGCCTAGTATTTTTTTTTTTATTGTAGTCTTCCCTCTAACAATGAACAACTTGATTGATATGTAGAGGATTAGCATGTGAAAAAATAGGTTCCCATGGGAACGCTTTTCTACTGCTTGATATTGGTGTTTTCTGGCTACTTTCTGTGTGGAGACTCAGTTAATTTTGTAAAATTTATGATTAAAACACTTATCAATTGATTCGTACAACAATAACATTTAACCATGAACATTTCCCGGAAATAAAAACTAGGCTGTTCTTCCACAGTGCGAGTCCAGTGTGACTTATGTTAAATCTTCCTGAGCACATGCTAAGTACCGCATGCACTGCTGCTTTCCGAAGAATGTAATAATAATGTGCTTTAAACCAGCCTAATTTTAAACATTTCTTTATTTTCAGAATGCAGAAGGTTTTCTGTTTGTAGTGAGTTGTGATCGAGGTCGAATCCTCTACATGTCTGAATCAGTGATGACCTATTTGAATATACCGAAGGTGAGATTTTTATCGGTGGGAGATGTAGAGGTTGCGAAAAGGGCTTGCTCATCCCCTGCCAGCTGCAAAATAGATTCTAATCCAAGGATGGAATCTTTCATAATACATAAAAGTGGCTAAAATTTTGGAGGTTCCAGAGATGTACACCTGAACCCCACTATTGAGACCCTCCCAAATCTTCTGCCCAGACCATATCCTCATCTAGTACTCCACAATCTCCTTATCATCAACTACCTCTTGATTTACTAGCTTATTTTATGACATAATGTATTAATTAATTCATTCAAATGGAACATTGCTTTTTTATTATTGCAAGATGTCATGCTATCTGAAGAAGTAGACACTAGTCTATATTAGTATTTTACTAATGAAAATGAATGAAATAATTTGCCATTTCTGTAATTATATTTGATCAATGTTGTATGTGTCTCACTCAGTGATAACCTGTTTGAATATATACCTAAATTAAGAATTCAGTATTTGTTTAAAAAAAAAAATAATATAATTGGATGTTGGATTACTTATGCTCTTTCCATTATCGTCAGTATTTTTGTTATCCTAATTTTAAGGTCTTGATTTGGAGGTTAATTATATATTAAAATTATTTGCCAATCTTGGTTTTTTTTTTTTTTACTTTTTTGCCTTTTAGATATTTTTAAATATTAATACTGATGTTTATATAGTAACCTTGTATGTGTCTAATGCTGAGAATAACCCACGCAGTAGCTTTGATAAAGAATTGCTCTTTTTATCAGTTCAGTCAGAATGTCATACCATCTTTGCGAATTATACATTAGAATATTTGTATGATATTGTACCTATTGTGTGAGGTGCTCCTAATGAACATTCTGCACTTTGTGTATGTACATTACATTGTTATTGCCGTAAAACTAATAATAATAAATAATATACGATACTATAATGTAAAGCGCTTAGAGGCTTTGTTAAGGCATTAAGCGCTATATAAGAACGACATATTATTATTATTATTATTATAAACTAATTGACATTTAGACATACATGCTTTACACTCTGCAACTTAGCATCTATCACGTAAATGAGAATATTAGCCTTGAGCCCACATATTGAATAGTAAACATCATTCATCATTCATTATGCCTGTCAACTTCCGGTGGAGCAAAGGCCACAGACAACCTCCTTCCATTCACTTCTGTTCTGAGCAAGTCTGGTGAGATTATTCCAGTTATGTCCAATCTTTCACCTCCTCTTCCCATGTCCTCTGCCAGGTTTTTCTTGGCCTTCCTCGCTTTCGTTTTCCTTGAGGGTTCCATTGTAGTGCTCTTCTAGTGATTTTGTAGACTCCTTTCTTAGAGTATGCCCTATCCAAGTCCATTTTCTTTTCTTTAGTTGATTTATGGGTGCCATCTGACTGGTTCGTTCTCACAGCTCCTGATTACTAATGCGGTTTGGCCACCAAATTCCCAGAATCCTCCTTAAACACTTATTGATAAAGGCTTGAATCTTCCTGTTGAATTCTGCCATTAATTTCCATGTTTCTGCTCCATAAAGCAGCACTGACTTTACATTTGTGTGGAAAATTCTGATCTTCGTTACTGTAGTTATTATTCCTGACTTCCAAACTTTCTTAAGCAGGTTGAAAGCTGTCGTCGCATTTCCAATCCGGGTTTTTATGTCTTGTTCTGTATCGACAATGCTGCCTAAATACATAAATGATGTTATGTCCTCTATATCCCCACTAGTTAGTGAGATGCTAGTGGAGTTTGTGCTATTTATCCTCATTAGCTTTGTCTTGCCTGCATTGATGTGCAGTCCAATTTTGTTTGCTTCCTCTTCCAGTTGTGAAGTTTTCTCTGCATCTGCTTGTGGGTGTGTGATAATAATGCCAAGTCATCTGCAAAATCTAGATCTTCCAGTTGTTCCAACAAAGTCCACTGTATTCCATTCCTCCTCCCTTCAGTTGGTTTCCTCATTATCCAATCAATCGCCATCAAGAAAAGAAATGGAGAGAGCAAACAGCCTTGTCTAACTCCTGTTTTAACTTCAAATTTAGGTGAAGCTCCACCTCCATGTAACACCTGGCACTGCATTCCTGTGTATGTGTTCTTGATGAACCTGATATATTTATCTGGAATTGCATAATGTTTCATGAAACACCATAGTGATTTCCTGTCAAATCTATCAAAAGCCTTCTCAAAGTCAATGAAATTTATGTAGAGGGGGCTATTCCATTCGACTGACTGTTTAATGATAATTCTCAAAGTGGCAATTTGGTCTGTACATGATCTATCTTTCCTGAAGCCCGCCTGTTGGTCTCTCAAAAGCTTATCCACTGCTGCCTTTATTCTATCCAAGATTATTTTGTTGAGTACCTTTCCAGGAATGGAAAGCAACATTATCCCTCTGTAATTTTTGCACTGACTTTGGGTCTCCATTCTTGGGTAGCTTGACTATGTATCCCTCCTTCCAATCTTGCGGAATGACCTCTTCTTCCCAAATTCGTGTGAAAAGTGGATGAAGCATATCTACTTTTGTTTGTAAATCTGCCTTTAGTGCTTCTGCTGGTATCCTATCTGGCCCTGCAGACCTCCCATTTTTCAGCAACCTAGTGGCTTCCCAAATTTCCTCCCTGGTTGGCAGATCCAGTGTGATTTGAAGCGATTCCTCTGCCGGTGGTATTTCTGCAGTTACTGCAGGTGGTGCTCTATTTAAACATATACAGTATAATATTTGCGTATAAGACAACGCTTAAAATAGCAAATTATAATCGAAAAACAGGGGGTTTCCTTTCCGTGTGACACACAAATTTTAGATTTTTTAAATCGTGTTTCTCTTATGTGCTGATCGTCCGTAACATGCAAATTTACTACTACAATGAAACTGCTATGCTTTAGTTTGAATGAACACAATTTTTAATACGTGAAAATAAGATTTTTGATGAACATTTAAAATCTCATAAAATGGAAATGCAGTAGAAACCCTCCATTGGGACACCACTATTACTGGGACAATTTTCCATGAAACTAGGGGAAATATATCTTAGATCCACCGACACAGCAGTATTCAACTAGGTCGAAGAATGTAGCCACGCCTGGCAACAACAATTCCACATACTTTAACATGGTTGCGCATGGCGGTATACTCGAGCAACAGGGCGCAGCAGGCAAAACACGAGTATCTGAGCATTTCCTCCATGGTCTCACCATGTACGTTTCACAAGCCAGATGTGAATACCATGCTGGATAGTTTTTTTTTCATTTGTTTTAATTAATGCTTTTTGAATGCTGATACAATGAAATTCAGAACATTGCGAAACCTGGACTTCGGACACATATGGCGATTTGACGTCTAAATGCAGGCTTGGTCCCAGTGGATCATATCGAAAGGAGTAATTCTGATGGTGAAAGGGGGATCGTCTTATACGCCCGATATACAAAAATTGTACAAAAATCTTCTCAAACTTGGGGTAGTCTTATACACGGTCACCTTATACGCGAGTATATACGGTAGCTCGCAAATATATTGCGAGCTCACCTCTTTCATCACAGTGAGGAAATTGATGTATAAATCATATGTAATCAAATGAGCAATCTTGCAGTTTTGTTTCGTAAATAAGTTTTATTGGAGGTGTAGCTTGGTGGTTAAGTTGCTTGCCTTCCAGTCCATGGTCCTGGGTTCAAATCCTGTGACAGCACAGAATTTTTTCTCACGACTTTTCAAAAAGAGAAATGATCCATCTCGAGTGGGTTGTCAATGAACCTTCCGCTAAGCCCCACCCCTGGATATATATGTAGTGTACTCTACACTTGGCTATCTTAGGCCAATCACATAGGCTTAGGTACGTAATATGTTAGATCAAATATTAATTACATAAAATGTAGGCCGACAGTCGTATTTAATGGGGGTGGAGTGGATTTCTTTTTTTGCGATTTACCATGGGATTGCTACTGTCATCGTTACGTAGACTCGTAGACGCCGTTGTCCATATGGTAATGATGAAGATAATGTTCGTGTACCTATTGACTGATGAGACTGTCATAGTTCATGATTAAAGTGCCTTTCATTTTTAATGGATTACATTCCATTCCAACCATGGTATAACCAGTCGATAGATAGTTTGTTTAGATTTCACAGCGTGTTCCATAGGTAACTCCTCTCTTTATTTAAATTAAATAATAAAACATTGCCTATAATCTAGTAATGTATATATTTAAAAACATATTGGGCAAGTATTCATACTACTTAACCCTTTCCAGTCGTATGGCGTCGCGACAACGCCCTCTTTGACCATACTTTATAGCGAGTGACGTACGTACGCCCTGTATAGCTTTCATGATAATTATTTTATAGCTAGGCTGCCCTCTATATGATTTTTTGAGTGTGATGTAGGAGTATTTCTGTAGAGGGCCTCCTGTATTTAGACCAAATAAAATGCCTGCGCCCAGTAAACACCCGACATTTAGTGTAGAGGATGTAATTTTCCAGCTTTGGTACGGCCTCAGGCAATGGTATTGGGGCAGACTGGAAAGGGTTAATACTGTACAGGTGTCATAGACATATACATGTACATATATATGTATACATACAGTAGAACCCCTCATTTACGTACTGGACGGGCCCAGAGGCATTTGTAAAAATCATTCGTACATAAAATCGGGGTTGTGTGAAATTCCTATGTATTTACACTACCGATATGCTAGGCTGGGCTAGGCTAGGCCTGGACTTGAATTTTGTTAGATTGGAGCCAAAACTCCAACTTCCTCTCGAAAGAAATTCAAAATAACGATCATAAATGTACAGTACTATACACACTTGTTAATGTGTATACAAACTTTATTAATAGGCCTTTATGACTTATCTTCTAGCTTACGAAGAAACACAGCCCCGCGGGTGCCGCAACAGGGCGAGTAACGCAACAACGTTTTTCACTCGATCCATGTACTTGTAGCGTCAAATGAATACCTGTACAGAATAACCTGGAAACCAGGGGTTCACTTATTAAAAGAAGAGCGCTGATTGGCTGTAGGCATGGCGCTTGGACATTTTTTTTTTTTTTTTTTTTTGTATGCAATACGATTGTTCTACGCCTACATTAACATTTATGTAATGAATAATAAAGTTAAAAAGAAAATGTAGGTGTCAGTGTCTTACTTTATGGGGAAAATAATGAAATGGCAGATCATGTGTGTCTGCGTACACACATCTAAAGGCAACACGTGTGTTTATGGAACAAGCTTGTATTCTTGGCCCTGATCTGATTGGCCAGTCATTCAAGTTGATTGACACTCCCGAAAATAGCCACTTGGTAGATGGCTCACATCAGAGTATGATGAATAACTCATTAGGTGAAACTTTTTTTATACCTTGTTTCGCAAACTTAATTTTTTTTTAAAGATAGTCAGAGAAGTGCGAAAAGAAAATAAAAACAAAATTTTGTTTTTTTATTTAACAAATGGTTTGCTAAAAATATCCAGAGGAGAAAATAAAAATAAAATTTTATTGTTGAATGTAAATAGTGTAGTATAGGAGGGTAAAATGCTTTAAGTTTATATAATTAGGAAGAAATGTACATGTTATTTTTGGAGATTTCAAGATAGTGGCAGGCGTAATAAAAATAAAGAAAACATTTTTTCTGAAATTTCAAATTTTTTATGGCGACAGGTGCTCTAATTGCCCGAAAATAACATTTTATTTGTGTTCAATTTTTATATTGTTTTCTTATTTAGCAAACAGTCGTATGCCCATATAATAATGGTGTGCCTATATATGGTCATGATGTGATGTCATAATGACTATATTTAGGCATGTCACATGTTTTTGTTAAATAAAATTTGATAATCTGTATAGCACTTTATATTGACTAATTTCCTATTGTATATTTGATTGTAAATATGCAAGTCTTCGCTGGATTACGTTGGTTGATGTGTGGTTTATTTCCAATTGACTCTCTAACCTTTTGCAGTAATCTAGATTTTGTGTAAAGTTCACATATGAACTTACCTGGGAATTGTCTCCAATTTTTTTTTAATCATAATATTAATAATTTATTGAAACTATATTATTATCATTAGTTTTGCTTGGGTGGGAACGCAGATTACCTGGTATATTTATTGGTTAATTTACATTTATGAATATGTCAAGCAATTTTAGAAGTTGTGGAATGCTCTCGTGGCTAATCTTCGATATAAGCAATTTCACGCTATGTGATATATTACATGAAAGAATATGTACTGAGGATTTATGCTGAACTCTATTGAGCAAAAGGGGAATGTCTTTGTTTAGATAAGGTTACAATAAAATCATCAAAGTATCGTTTCAATGAATTATGCGTATTTGGAGTATTAAGTCTCTGCTAGAGTAAATTTTGACAGTTTTGAACTCCTCAAACTTATCTATTTTTACATTTTATCTTCAAACACTTATTGAAAAGCCTTGGTAAATATTTTTTAATTAGCATCACAGTGTTGACCTTTTAGATTAGAAATGGAGTGGGAGAAACAAATGGAAAACATGAACATTTTTGCCTAGCCTCATCGCATGCCTAGCCCTAGACTAGAGTCATACAGATGACATTCGTCTGACTCATCGGCCATCATAGTCAAAAGAAACATCTTAATCTACAATCCAGCAATTTAAGTTTTTCTAATAGTTTAAATATTTTGTACAGAAATTGCAACAAAATGACTTAGTACCTCTAACTCAACAGTGATATCCTTCAGCACTGGATGTGGCATGTCCCGCGAGCGATGGACCTAGGCCCCCTAGGTGGCCTCTCGAAATTCTTCATATTTTAGTCTGAATGGAAATTTAAATCAAATTAATCTTAATTTCATGAATCTATGAATCATTCAAAATGTATACATTGCTATAAAAAGTATCTTCTACGCTGACTTCATTACATTTTAGACGATTTAATAGACACCACTTTCAACTCTGCTCAATACATTTGCATAGAACTTTACTATGTAAACAACTTTTAATACCCACTTGGCCAAATTTTGATGATGTCATCTTTGGTGACTAATTCAGTCAAATATAAACTGGACATTCATTTGAATGTATTTTAATTTTTGTATTCTTGGCATAATGTATGTTTATGGGATTATTTTTTACACTCTGTGTTTTGTTATTTAAAATAAATAAATAAATAAATTTTTTTTAAATGTATAAATAAATATATGTAAGCAAGAAGTAATGATATGCCATGTTACGCTATTAATGTAATCATTGTTAAGCACTTAACTATTATTAGTGTAAATTACTATATAAATCGCCAAATCCTGATCAAGTTTACTGGGAAAAAGCTTCCTTAGGTTCTCATCTTTCAGTCACTGTATAAATTTAGGTTCATGTTTTTTTTTTTTGTTTTTTTTTTTGTTTTTTTTGGTGGCTGGGGTGGGAAGGATATGTTTTTCTATCACAGAGTTTAAATGAACATCACAACATCAATTATATTATCTTCTTTTTTTTTTTTTGGGTCTGATATTGAAATTTTTTTTCTATTTCTAGGAATATTTGTTAGGACAGAGTATAATGGACATGCTCCACCCAAAGGACATCGGAAAAGTAAAAGAGCAATTATCATCCTTGGATCTACTTCCCGCTGAACGTTTAATTGATGCTAAAAGTAAGTATTGATATATATCACAGGTGGGAAAAGTGCAGCCTGATGGTGATTTTGTTGCAAAAGTAAATTAAACCATCTTTCTCCAAAAAAACAGCTTGTTTTATAGCACTGATCATAAGTAAAAAGTAATACTAAGCATATATGAAGCAAATGCTTGACAGTTTTTGCAAACAATTTAAAACGTTTGGCTGTGGCCCTCAGTACTAAATCAAAAATTGCCTTTGACCCCACGACCCATTTTTATGCAAACCTTCCCTATTGTATCATTTTATACAGTATATCATGATTAAAATTGTTAATATAACCACTGTTACTGTCTTTGCTGCTATCACCATTGTAAAATAATGAAAAACATGCCTTGGAATGTGATATATACAATATTTTGTGTATTATGACCTGCCAGCCCCACACAAATTCCAGCCTACAGTACAACCATATTTTGTTTTTTAAATGTACAATATTATCATGGTGTAGTATGTTTGGGTGCGATATATTAATTTGTTATGTCTGAACATCAACTATTTATACATAAGTTGAATGTTTTTAACAGGGAAGTAAAGCTATCGAAGTAAAAATATGTAGATGGTTACCCATTGTATATTTTTCCTGGTAGGGTGGCCAATATTCTCACCAGGGAAAGGGAATTCCATCACGAGTTGGAGGATTATTCCACTGCATTTGTGGGGAAAATTTTCTGGGATTGAGAAATTTTCCCAAGGGTACCAAAACAATTTCCTTAGCATAAAAAAATTTTAGGAATAATTCACCACTGTCGATTTCTGTTTCTTGGCAGAAAATTCTCTACACTTGACAGAGAATTCTTTATCCTTGCTCAGCTAGTTTATTATAGGAAGTAATTTAGATCCCCAAAGGGAAATATATTACCAATACAGGAACTTGACATGAAAAATGTATTATTAATATTCTATATTATTGTTAAATTCATTTATTTGATATATAGTGAAATATAAATTAGGCCTTGGGGAGGATTCTCTTGATCCAAGAGATTAAAGAGAGTAATAGTAAACCATATACAGGATTGTCCCCAGTTGATAGTGTATTAGAAATTAGCAATGATTAAAAAATGGTTTATTAATTAGTTAGCGTCGCTGACTTGTGAGCTCCAGTCGATCATACATATTGTTTTATATTTTTGTGACAGTTTGTAGAAGTAAATTAGATATCTTGTCACCTTAAATCAAATATAAAATATATAAAATATGTCTATTTGGCCAGCTTATTATTTTAGAGATTATTATACCATAAAATGTGAATAGAAGACCTTTGCTTCTTTTTGTTTTTAGGAGCCATGAATGGGCTTCTTTTCAAGGTGATCTTCTATTTGAGATTACTTTTGCAAACTAAAAGAGAGGGTCTATTTTCAAAATGAATGCTGTAAATATTTGGAATTGCTTATTTGCTATCACTAGGTCATACAAAATTGTGTTTAATATTTTTTTAATATTAACCAATGCTTGTACATTATTGATACTCACACACTATATAATCATTATCATGATCAAACTATCTCGAAAAAATGTGCATGCTATCGTAATTAGCAGCCCATGTGCTTTTTATCAATATGGGCTTCCTTTTTTAAAGTACTTTTGAAAACTAGAAGGGGTTTTCTTCTTGAGATAGGCTTCTCGAGATTAAGCCATTGGGCTACTATTCGAGGTTTTACGGTATTATATTTTATGTTCTAGGTTTTGCAATATAATTATATAAAATGTCTATTTAGCCATCTATAATAAAATAATGTATATTTTATAAATCATTTATGTTATATTTTATTTTCTATGTTTTGAATGTGGGAATTTTGAAAGCAATTACATTAAAATACAATCAATCAATCAATCAATCACTAATAACTTTTCAAATGCTTAAATATAAACAGTTGTTTATCAAAAGGTCGTGATCAACTATAATTTACTCTTGAAAGAACTTAAAGTAGGTGCAGATCGAATGTCAGTGGTAAACTATTCCATAGAACTGCCCCTTGATAGCTAAGACTTCTTTTTTCAGTTCGTTATTTGGTTTTGGCAGAAGCAGTTTAAGATTATCATAGCCTCGCAAATTGTACACACTCTGCTCTCTGAACTTATTTCTGATATACGATGGGGTGAGTGAATTTAAAGCTTTAATAAAACCATTAGTTTATGTGACCTATTTATGTAGATTTGCCCAACCTAGTCTTGTTCAACACCATTTCACCTGATTCGTCCCATCTGCAGTTTAGAACCGCTTGCCCTGCACGATTTTGGAGTTTGCTTAATCCATCACCATAGTTTCCCCACACATACTCAAAATGCGGTGAAATAATGGTATACAATGTTATTAAGCAGTCGTGAGGCACAAAACGTATAACTCTTCTAAGAGGAACAGTACCTTTGAGCATACTAAGTTTACATGTTCATTCCAAGTTAGGTTATCATCTATAATCACCCCTAAATATTTACATGAGTTCACTTGCTTTAAACGTGTACCATCAATCTGAATTTCCAAATCATGATTAACAAATTTAAGTTTCTCGTATGAACCAATAAGCATAACCTCACATTTTTTGGCAAAGCTTCACAATTAATAAGCTGATATTTGAAATCGATCACTTAAAAAGATAATTAGAATGAAATTGATATTATATTGATAAAAAATATTTAAAAGTCTACCGTTTTAAAATAATACATATAAAAAACTAAAAATGTATAAAGGTAATGTAAAATGAATTTAGTTACTAACGAATTGCAAGTTTATTAATGTGGTGGATAGAGCTGTGAATATAAGAGTTACGATATGTAGCGTGGCGTGTTGGATGCTAATAGAAAAAAAATCTACTTGTTTGAATGTAAAGTTTATTATTATAGAAGACAGTCCATAGACATAATCCAGAAGTACTGTACCTGTACTAGTTTTCTGATGAACCGGTTCGAGACCTATTAATTTAATCAGTAAGAAGATGTTTCATTTGTGGATGTTCACATTTATCCAATCAGAATGTGTGTTATTACTCCATTGTTAAGCTATCTGTAAGCGAGGGGATCATATTTTATGTTTCATGATTTTGTTGCTTCATATTGTCTTGTCAAGACTACATTTATATCCGTTGATTAGTAGTGATAGCGAAATTATTATTTTGTAACCTCTTTCTTTTTCAGCTTACGACGTAACAGATGGCAATACAATAATAGTAAATAATAATAAACAGAAAAGCAATAGTAATAGAGTAATAATAGTAATATAGTATTATAGTAATGTAATTATAGTGTTAGTAATATAGTGATAAAAAGTAATATTTTAAAGTATAGTTATTTTTATATAATCATAGTAATAATCATAGTTATTAATAACAATATTCAAGTATTTAATACTCACTTTTGTAAAAATATGAGGCTTTCTATTCCAAAACCAGCATACTGTTCTATTCCAAAAACCAGCATACCCAGGGTCCTGGGTTCAATTCCTGCTAGTTGCAGGATTTTTTCTCACGACATAAACAACTCCACTCCCTAAATTTCATATTGAGATTTAGTTTGTGTAAGGCATCGTGTGTGTATGTTTGTCTTGTGTAAAGGATTGTCACCTACAAGTAGGACAGTGATATATTCGCTATTGGCAATCCTTGGCACATGTGTTGTGTGCCTAAAGAAAGAATAATAATAATAATACTGTCACTAATTGTTTAACTGAGTAATAAGTATACAGAGAAATCATATAACACTTTTACTCATAAATTTAGCAATAGTTTAGCCTCGCTACAGCGTTTTTATTGTAATCGTTGTATTACTTAGCAGTCCCCAATGCAATCGAGAAGGCTCCCCGATTCAACCGACCAATCAGCATCACTGAAAGCGGTCAGCGTTAGCGGTCAGCGTTAGCGTGTAGCGATTCTATAGAAACCAGGCTTAAATCTATTCCAGTAGTAAAAGACTTACTGTATCATACTGTGTGGTGAATATCATACCTAGTCTGAACTAGGCCAGAAAGTATCTTGAAAGTATGTCTTTTGTAAATTTAGATAGTATTGTGAGCCGTACTTATCTTTATAAAAAATCATTAGTTACTGTAAAACAAAAGTAGGTTACATAGAAGATAGCTGAATAGTTATTTGAACACAAGTTTCCGTGTATAGTACCAGCTTGTGTTTAAATAAATATTCAACTAGTCTCTGAATTCTGTTTTAATAAATTACTGATTCTTATCAGGGGCAGATCCAGGCATTCCCCCACTAAATCTGTGTGTTCTAGACGCCCGAAAATAACCTCTGAAGTGTTTTGGGCGATCATGTTTTTCTTTTTCTTTCTTTCTTTTTTTTTTTCTTTATTTTAGCTTCCAAGGGGAGGGGGGGAAACTAGAAATCCGCCCCTACTTATTTAGATTTGTAGAAATGATACTAATTTTCTGTATTCAGTGCCTCTAAAGAAGTATGGTTTCCTTAAAAAACATATAGTATTGTTTATGGCACAAAATGGAAACCCCAGAATTTCAACTCTTGTAATTACCACATTCAGATTGTTCATTTAATTCAACTTCGACAATGTTTTACATGGTTTTACAAAGCAGCCAAATGTGACTTATTGTCATGAAGAGTCTTAGGTCATCGTGTGAGTAATAATGAACATGTTTGATATTCAATGATGTCACTGTCACTGACACAGTTTCACACAATGTTTCAAATGGTAAATTGAAATGAAATTTTTTTTTTTTTTTTTTTTTAAACTATCAAAGGCACCAAGTGAAGAATAAACTGGATTAAAAGCTTAAGAAAAGATGAAAGTTTTGAGATTTGTTTCAAATAGAACTAAATTTGTCAGCTGTCAACAGAAATGGGTAACTGATTCCAGAGATGGGGGAAAAGCAAAGTTGACCATATGTTTTACATTAATTTTTAAGCAAAGGAACTTGCTGAAGGTGGATGAGGGAAGGAACATAGGGTGTAAGGTACTCTAAAAAATAAGATGGTTGTTTATTAAATGAGAGTGACTTAATAACAAATAAAAGTA